TAGATGTCAAGGAAAGAGTATGTGAAGGATAAGGAATGGGCTACAGAGTAGGCAGGGTCTTCAGAATGTGATGCCAGGCTGACATCTGGGAAGGGGAGACAAGGAACAGTGGTAGGATGAGCAGTAGACCGAGAAAGTTGACAAAATCATTTTTAGCCTAATGGGGAATTCCTGAGCAAAGATCAACTATTAGTAGAATTCCCCCATTGGATAGGAATGACCAAGCTTTAATATTGGCATCATGTTTAGTCATTGATGGGGAGCAATCTCCGAAGAACATGGCTCAGCATGACTGTGCTCCAGATTCAAGTTTGTGGCAGCTGTAGGCTGTCACCAACAACACACTTCTTAGGAAGTTCTCTTGAAATGAGATTTGAGTGGAATGCTTCCACCATCACAACATGTCAGTTTTTGAATGTTCCAGAACTATTTTTCCCTGATCCTCATGGTTAGATTGTATTTTACTATGTCTTTAAAATTAGTATGGCTATGTGACTTCTTTAGCCATTAGTTTTCAAGTTTAAGTTCCAGATAATTGTTATCCCACTAAGGGAAACACATTTTGAGCAGAATTTCCATCAATCTGGGTCCCAATAATGAGCAGAGGTCCTTGCCAACTCATTCGAGAAATAGCAGCATCGTAATAAGCCATGGAATACCATTTTTAGTGAAGAATAACCTGGATTATCTTGAGACTATAGTTTTGGAGGTTTTGTCAATGCAGTAATTCCTGTTTTGATACACAATGGGTAACAGGTGTAGTGACCATACCCCTGAAATCCACCTTGGACATTAGAGCAGGACAATTCAAAAGCATTAGTCAAAAATATTAATAAACTTGAGCTTCTAGAGCCATTTACATTTAGAAAGAAAAGTTGGCAAACCATTGTTCCTAACAGGGTATTAATACATAAGTAGAACCCACACAATGTTAACAATCAGTTGTCCATATTTATTGTGCATAAACAACTTTGTGTTAGATGCATTAGAGTATAAAAAGAAATAGATAATAATCCTTTATATCATATGCACACATTATGGGTTTCCAAGGCTTCTCACAATTTTTTTTAAATGAAATAGGTAGGGAAAGTATTAACACAGTCTTATAGATAAGAAAATAGTAACCCACAAAGATTGAATGACTTTACCAAAGTCATATGAAGGTCAAAAAGGGGATAAGTATTAGAGACAAAACCAGCACTTGACACAGTGTTTTCTTATATCAATATGTAAATTGAATTTTTTTCCATATCTTGAGGGCTAAAATTAAAAAAAATTTATTGTCACATTTTAATTATACATAATAGTGGTTTAATTGTGATATATTCATATATGCACACAGCTTAATTTGGTCAATTTCATTCCCTTGTACTACCCTTTTCCATTTTCTCCCCATCTTCTACACTATTGATCTCTCTTCTATTTTCAAGAGATCCCTCCTTGCCCCACATTTTTTCCTTTTTCTCTCTTGCTTCCACATAAAAGAGAAAACATAGATCCTTGATTTCCTGAGTCTGGCTTATTTCACTTAAAATTATATTCTCCAGTTACATCTGTATTCCCACAAATGACAAAATTTCATTCTTCTTTGTGGCTAAATAAACTCCATTGCATACATATACCACATTTTCCTTATTCATGTATCTTTTGAGGGATATTTCTGCCAGTTGCATAACTTGGCAGCTGTGAATTGTGCTGTTATAACCATGAGTATGCATTTATCTCTATAGGATGCTGACTTTTGTTATTTGGGGTAAATACCAAGGAGTGGTATACCTGGGTCATATGGTGGTTCCATTCCTAGTCTTTTGAGGAAACTCCAAAATGATTTTTATAGTGGTTGTATTAATTTACAATTCCACTAATGGCATATAAGTGATCCTTATTTCCCACATGCTATCATTTATTCGTATTCTTTTTAAAAAATATTTTTAATATTTATTTTTTAGTTGTAGGTGGACACAATATCGTTATTTTATTTTTATGTGATGCTGAGGATTGAACCCAGTGCCTCATGCATGGTAGGCGAGCACTCTACCTCTGAGCCACAACCCCAGCCCTAATTTATTTGTATTCTTAATGTTTATGAGGGCTAAAATTCTTGTTGCTAGAATTAATTTACGAATATTTTCAAGGCCTACAGGCAAATACATGTACATCAATAAGGTGTTTGCAGCTGTTTTGTATCACACATTGGGTGAATACATTAGGCAGGAAGTAGACCAGAAACTTTCAAGCAGTCACAGGGAGTCCTGAAGCCCTTTTCAGTCCCAGCATCAAGTGTTGGGGAGACAATCAACATTAAAGAAAATAATGAAAATAATAATTGCTTTATCCATGGCTTATATTTCTTAAGTGACTTTAATGTATATTTGTTTCTCTTGCGCCTTGTATTTCTGTATAAGAAATTATAGAATTGAACCCATACCTTATACTCATAAATCTGTGGAAACATACAAAGTAAGTGAAAATTGATTTTTAATCAAATTTTGGAATACTATTGCAAGGCAATGCGTTTTGAAACTCAAAATACTAAAAAAGGATGTGTAGATTTTAAAATATTACCCCCAATTCTTTGATACATCTTCCATTGAGAGAATAGATTTTTGTCTGTAATAAAATGAGTCCGGATTTTTTTAGTTACTCAGTGGAGATTTCCTTTAAGGATATGAGATTTGGGGCAGCTGATAGGGAAAAATCCTGCCTCTCCTGGTGACTCTTTCTTGGTCTTCGATTTCAAGGTGACAAACAGGATTTAGTATGCTTAAATTCCCATGGGCATCGTATTTTAATGGAGTAGTTTGGCCTCACACAGGGTGCGAACATTTAGGAGGAACATTAGGATCCAGGAGTTGAATCTCAATTTAGGGCAGGACTCTTGTCATGCCTAACTTATAGTGAGGGCTGAAGGACAGACTAAGACAGTGAATGGCAAATGCCAGGCTTCTTTTGCCACGAAAATGAGGTTTTCTTTTGTTTTCCCATTCTCAAGCACCTCGGTAGCTTGTTGATAGAAAGCAGTTTCCTGCATGAGGCAACCATAGATCAGACCCACAAGGATAGTTTTTACACACACACACACAGACCTATAGTGCAAATTTTATGAGCCCAAGCCGTGGCTTACAACTAATAAATTTCATGCTGAACTTCAAGCCACTTATCGCCTTTACACCGACAGAGGCAGCTGGGTTTTCTTGCACGCGATGCGCCACCCAAGCAGAAGCAGGGACTCCCTCATCTTTCTTTCCTCGGCTCCGCCCAAGAGGGAGCCAAAGGAGACACCGCAGTTGCGCTCAGCTCGCCGCGTGGGGGACACCCGTAGGAGCTCGGGTTTCCACAAAGCACAGCTGGCACAGGACACACACACATAAAAATTGCGGTGAGAATGGGGACTGACCCGCTGCCAGGAGCAGCGGCTTACTGGGAAAGAGACCCCCACGTCAAGGGTGTCACCACGGTAATGACCGCCCACTCAGGAATCCCGGCCCCTCCCGGGCGCGCCCCCGCCCCACGCGCAGCGCGCCACTGCCGGATCTTGAATTTCAACACAAAGGGAATCCTCGGCCGCAGGAAGTGCATCACCAGAAAGGGGGACCAGAGGCGGGGAGAGGGGGATGCCTCTTTCTCTCTCCACCCCCGCCCTCCGGGAGCCCCGGGCAGTGGTGACGAAACCTGCAGGGTCCCCTCATCCCCGCCCCAGGAACCCGAAGAATTCAAAGAAAGAACGCCCTCCCCACCTCCCACCCCCCACCTTGCCCGAGTCTCGGGCGGCGGGATGTGAGCTGCTACTTGCAAAGGCTCAAACACCTGTTCGCTTTTTCCCTTCTTTCCTTCCGGGTGCACGAGCACCTGGGATAACGTTTATTTTTCTATCCGTAGGTTCTCAACTTTCCTTTCACACCTCTTTTCCTTTTTAAGATTTTCCGTAGAATCCAGCTCTGGGTATTCCCCTCCACTTCCCGCAGGGCCGATCTGCAGATCTGGGCGGCTTTTTGAGGCATAACATTAGTAAAGAGGGAGTCCCCGCGTCAGCCAGAGGAAGAATGGCCGAGAGACCACTTTCGCTTTCTGAGACACCTGCGGTTCCTGGAGCTAGGCCAGGCTTTCTTCTTGGAGGTGTCAGTCTGGCGGGCAGCTTTGTTATTGGAGAGGGGCGGGGAGGAAAACGGTTAGGGGATTTGTATTGAAGCTGTTTGCAAGGGAACCTTACTTTTTTAACTTATGTGGTATCTTGCAAATCAATAAAATAGCAAACTTTTCTAGAAATGCTTTATTCACATTTCACTGAAGAGTGAAAAACCATCCATTGTCCATTTAAGCCCCCGCCCCCTTTACTGTGGGATGGGGTGGGGAGGCCAATGGTATTTGGAGGAAGGTGATCGAAACACCACTTTTTGAAGCTCAAGGAGAGACTGAAAACCCCCTGAGTTTTGGGCCAATTCCCAGGGTTAAAAAGACCCTTGTGACTAGGAAATGGGGCGCGCGACTAACTTGGAGCTGCCCTGCTCCTGTCGCGGGAACTCGAAATGGCAGGTGCACCGGAAGGGGGGCCACCTCACCCCCCCCCGTGTCCTTGGCTGCCTCTGCTCCCTTGGACACCACTGGGGGGCCTCCCCCTCCCAAGTTCTAGGCGGAGGCCTGTTACCTGCCGGGACCTGTCTCCTCCCCTTCAACAATAGTACACCCACGGGACTCATCTCCCAGGGAGAGGGCCAGAGCGGGAACAAAGGGGTCTTTGTTTCCTGGCTCCTGGGGGGTGGGAGTCGCGCACGCTTCCTAACGCCCCTTGGAGACCCGGAGGCTCAACGACACAGCTTCCCCGAGATCAGGCGCAGTCCTCCACGACCCTACAACCTTAGGTCAGGGCGCGGCGCCCTGGACCGTCGCGTGCTTTTTCCGGGAGGGCGAGGTGGGGGACAGGCACCGCGCGGCGGGACGGTGGGGGGGTTTCGGCAGCTGGCGGAGGTGGAGGGGGCGGGAGAGGGAGCCTGCGCCAGGCTGAGCCTGGAGGTGCGGGGCGGGCTCGGAGAGCGCTCGCGGGGCTGCTCTTGCGAGGGCAGCAGCGGCTGGAACTCGCTCTCTCTCTCCTTCCATCCTCCTTCTTCCCTTGATCGGCCCCATCACCAAGCCAGGCCCCCCTCCCTTGCCGTCATCACGTCCCCCTTCTCCCTTCTTGGCACTTTCCTTCCCTACCATCCTTCTGGACAAACTTTGATGGAGAATTTCACACCACGCTGGAAAAATGCCGGTTATGAAAGGATTACTGGCGCCCCAGAACACCTTCCTGGACACCATCGCCACCCGTTTTGACGGAACACGTAAGTCTTACACTTCAATGAGTTGCATGATATTTTCCGGAGAATGATTTTTTTTTCCTTCTACCTACTTTCGCTACCACCTTTCTTTTTGCACCAGAACAATGAATTTCCTTCTGTTCTTGGCAAGGTGTCTTTTGTGAGCAGAATTTTTTTTTTCCCCTCTCCGGTAGGTGATTCAGTATAGTATTAACAGTTTGGATTGGTGTAGTGGGTTCTCTTGACTTCCTGGGTTGGTAAGGCTGTAAAAACAGCCTAAAGGAACACCGACGCCCGTATTCCCTGTGGGACTTGCATTTTTGATACAATGTTAGGGAATTGGTTATAATTCTACGAGGTGAAAATTGGGATATTCTGCAATTTATCGTTCTAGAGTTCCACGGCTCCTGAGGTTGGAGAGTCTGGAGTGTTCTTTCCTGGAGCTTCATTCCGAGAGGTTTATGAGCTTGACATGATTTCCCATCTGAGTTTTAAGAAGTGCAGACTAGAATCAAGATTGCCAAGTGTGAGCTTTCTGTAGACTTCTAAGTGTTGTGAGTTTGTCAGAGGCTTCATTCCTGATTTTTAGCTAGAGTAACATACCTCTTGATCCTGAAATTGGCTTAACTGAGTGAGACTAATCAGGAAGGAGTAGCTGGATATTATAAAGCCTGATCTGATTATAAGAGAAAGTTTCAACATTTTGTTGATGATAAATATTACTGGATATTTGTCTTGTTTAAATTGGCGTGGAAAAAAAAAAGAAAAAGAAAACAAAAATAGACTTGATGCTGGGTGGATGTTTGGAAACTGTTCGGAATCTGCAAGTGGTTCTCTTTCAGGACCACGGTCAGGTCCCCTCTCTCTTTCCCAGGCTTCTGAAACTGGGAGCTTGAGCCTGGGGAATCTTCCCAGTAGGCTTTAGCCCCCAAACAGGAGTCTGTACTACCACCCCTAAAAATGCCCTGAGTTGCTTCCACGATTATATCTACCTTTCTCCTAGCTTGTGCAGCTTCTGTATGCTTCTATGCTTCTCTCGCCCCCCCCCACACTTTTTTTTCTTTTTTTGGTCTGTTATACAAGACTCATTTAAACTCACTTACTCTAACAGCTTTTTTTAGTGGTTCAAGTTCCATTGTTTTTACTAGGACTGTGCATTTCTTAGAGCTGATATGAGAGAATGCATCTAATTCCATTTCCACTCCAGTAGTCTAGATACGTTCTCCTTTGGGGTGTGAAGCAAGTCTTGGATTTCTATGCTTTTGGAATTGTTGGACAAGTTTATATGAGAGAAAAATGAAACACTTTGAGTTTGTTCAGTTTTTATTTTTGACATTCAGTTTAATCATGGTTGGTGTGGATATTTGGTTAATTCTTCCAGTGTTTTTATCTTTATGTTTATTTATGCATTACATTTCTTTTTATATTCTACTTGTGTCAGACAGTAAGAGTGAAGTTAGCAAAACTGTTAGATATATTGCTTCTTCAGTTAATAATAAAGAGAATTGTAGAAAAAGTTCACATACCTTGCCACTACCACTACCATCATCACCCGAGCACCACCAATATTACCACTGCTGTCCTTAACCATTCACAGTTACATGTATTACTATTTAAAACCTGAGAAAATATCAATTTTATGTGGATATTGGTTCTTAAAATTGAACTTGTAAAAAATAAGAGGCTCTGAACATTGATCCTGAATGCATCTCAAGAAAATGAGGTAATTAGAAAATGATAATTGTCTATCTCATTGTCACTTAAAGTTGAATGGAGTACAATGTGTATTGAATCATCCCAGCAGAGCCCTGGGAATTACTGCTGAGATACATTTAGATATCAATTGCTAATGAAAGAGGCTTTAGATCATCAGTGTGTGGATATCTTGTCCTCTTTCTGACTCTCACTATAACATGATAACAGGAGGCATGTAGGGAGAGAGGTGTGTATGTGTGAATCACTCTTTTTCTATTTTAGCTATGCATTAATGTTAATATGTAGGAAGTCAGGCATTTCAAATCCTTATTTAAGAAGACCATCATCACATATCAATCTTTAGCATAACAACAACAACAAAAAACCTAAAACTCTATGGGAAGGAGACCAGGCTTGGTTTGTGCTCCATAGAATCTGGAGAATTCCTAGAGGGACACAATTTGTATGAAATCCAACAATCAGTGAAGTAGATTTCAAAGTAACGAGAAAAATAAAGGTTGATTTTGGCAAGATTTTGTTTACAACATTTAATGAATATCTCTCCTCCCAAGAAGCCTACTCAAAATAATAGTATTTTCTCATTTGTATTTTTTTTAATTGCAGGATGACTTGAATAATCTGAAACTTAGAGAAAAGAACTTAAGCAAATTTTTAGCCACACATTTTGCTATATCTAGAATCATGGGCATATCATTTCTCCAGCTAGATATTTAGTTTATCTAATTATGACATCTTTTCTTATTGACATGATTTTATTATGTATGGTTACTATCTATGAAGCTCTTTTACTATGATTATTCTTTTTCTCTTGATTTTTAAGTAGCAGTTCTTTTGTTTTTGTCAGATAAAACTATTTGCAAATTTTAAACTCTCTTCATGCTCAATATAGATTGTGTTGACTTGGTCTACTTCCTGCTTTATTTATGAGGTACATTTTATAATCATGCTTATTTCTTTTTAAAATCGTATTTTGTACACTTTTAATGAAAAATTTAAGAGAGCAAACAACATTCCTGGCTAACCTAACCAGTGTGTAGTATTATTATTAGCTTTATTGATTTACTATCAAATGGAAAATAATAAAACAATTTAAGACATCATCTAAAAATCCTCCCAGGAAAAATAAACATATGATTATATTAAAGCCTGTAATATAATCTTTCTAATTTATCAGTTGAGATAGTATCACAGAGCAACATAAAAGAAGTTAATGTATCTTATCACCTAGTGACACTTTGTGGATTTACATAATAGGATATTCTTTCCTTTTAATATTTATGAAGTAAGCTTTTAGGATTGAAAGACAATTGTGAAACATTGCATAAAACTATTTTTCCCTGATATATAATACAATTTGTTAATATTATTGGAAAACATAAATATTTTATATGTAACATTGGCACTAAAATATGTTTTTCCAGTTTGTGTTTAATTGAAGTATAATGTCACAGAAAAACTAAGAAACTAAGAATCTTTTAAATGTTGAATATTTCCCCATGTAGGGGGTAGAAAGTAAACCCAATGAATTTATCCAATACATTACGTGAAACAACACTTCTCACTCGAAACACTCTAAAACACACACACACACACACACACACACACACACACACGTCACTCCTACATAGCTTTTTAAAAAACATGTTTGACACATGAAAAAAAAAACTTTTAAAGAGTACACTTTTGTAAGTATTAATCTATATGAAGGGAAAGTATAATAATAAAACATATAAGTACATATTTGAAAAAAATAGTTCTTTAGTACAAACATTTGTCATAGGATACTTTTTGAGAAAAAACCCACATTTTTCTTTTTTGGAGGATATTAAACTTTCAGAAGAAAGTGTCCATTTTCAAGCATAATGGTGCATTAGCCTACATTTCCTGGCCATATCAAAATTTAGCCTTCTTCTCCTTTGGGGTTACTAAGACAAGATTTAAGTTTTAAAGAAAGTTTGTAACCCAATGTACTACATCAAGAAAATGCCAGTTAAAATATTCAAAGTGATAGTAGTTTAGAAACTCTTTGCATATATATTATGTACTCTTGCATAACCTTTTCGAAAGGGTCTGAGGAAATTTGTTAAAGTTAAAATGCACATTTACAGGAGCCATGATAGTTTTTCTTCTCATCTTTGTACTTTTATTAAGGTAGATAAATCTCTTAATATTAGAAGCATAGGAAGGATTATGTACCCAATGCAAGAAGAAGAAGAAAGAATAAGGTGGGACAGCAGAGTTCTTTCTATTCTTAGCTAGTTGTGGTTTGAAGTATGTCATCCAAGATGTTTAGCCAGTAAAAATAATGAGCTCTATGGGTCTGTGAGTAAAAGGCTATTGCATGAGTATATTCAGGGAACTACCTAGCACTGCATTGGTATCACCCACTAGTGAAAGTTTGTGAAGACTTTTTGTTGTTTACAGGCTATATGGTTCCTATTTTTTTTATGTTTAGGAATTACATTCCAATATTAGTATTCTATTTCTGTATAGTAAGTTTCATAAACTTCATGGTTTATTATCTCACCTTCTCTGTAGGTCAAGTAGCCAAGCCTGGATCAGATAGGTATTATCTACAGACTCCCATGAGACTGTATAAAAATTGTCAGATGGGACTGTGGTCTCATCTGAGGCCCAAGGTCTTCTTCCAACCCTGCGTGGTTGTTGACAGAGTTGCAGGTTTTTGATTGATGTCCCTGTTTTCTTGCCAACTGTCTGCCAGGGAATTTCTCAGCCATTAGAGCCTTTCCCCAGATTTTTTGCTATATGGCATCCCCCCTACACTCATAGAACAGAACAGTTTACTTCTTTGAGACCAGTGGGGAGTGTGTAAGATAGGGGGTGTCTCTCTTTTAGAAGTTCACCTAAGTCATCCCTACTCAAGTTAATCTCCCTTTTGATGAACTCAAAGTCAATTCATTATGAATCTTAATTACATCTTTAACCTCTGCTATATCCATCATATCTACATATTCTCTGCATACTCAGTGAGGGAAGAGATTGCACAGGGTGTACACACAAGGAGGTGGAAATCTAGGGAGCTGTCATAGACTTCTTTCTGCCACCCTTGCTGTCTCCTAGCATGTTGTACTATCATGGAAAGCCTAATGCTCTCACACTTGTTCTTCTATGAAGCAGATTTTTGAGCACATTCTGTAATCAGTATGCAGAATGCTCTGCTGAGTTTACGTCTGAAATCTTTGGGAACATAAGGCCCCACTTACTGCAGGGTTTTCCTTCACATCTGGTGATGGCATATGTGTAAACCTAGCCTCGGATATTTTCAGTCTGCTGTGCTGTCATTCATT